TAATTGGTAATTTGCTTGATGGCCCATATTCTAGAGTTTGTAAAAATGACTTTTGGTTTTGTTGAAGATGTTGCCCATGAGTTTTTGCTTTCACTATTCTAGATGCTCTGACCATTTTGTAAGGGGATTGGGGAAATTTTAAAAGTCTGAATTGATGCCATTTTGACCTAACTAGAACCGCCATCACTTTCTTTACCATATTACCCTGTTTTACTATTCTATCTCACAGGCAGTTTTTTTTTTCTGAGATTTATTTTTTTATGGTGTGAGGAGAAGTAACTTTATATTTACCATCTTTAATTCCTTAGCATGCATTTATGAAATAATCTGTATTTGTTTAAATTGTTATCTTTAAATGCATTAAGTATATGCACATACAGAATATGTCTCATAAATTCCTCATTTTTTTTACTTTAAATACTAATATATTTTGATGTAAACATTCTAGGCATATCTACTGAACTGCATTTCTATTCTGATGGTAGAACTTTATTCTGCCATTCTGCCATAGGGCAGTCATGGTTTATAACAGGATCTGAAATTAAATTAAACCAACCTGCTTGGTCATGTCATGTTGCTGTCTCAAACACTATGCTTTTGAATGTCATATAGGGCTTGTTTGTATTATGTCTGAAACTCACAAGATTTATATGTATATTGTGAGAAAGGGAGAGAGAAGGAAAAAACAAACCAGATTGCAAAAGGAATTTGGGGTCCTGTGACTTTTTCTAATATATTCTATAATATTTTGATAAGATGTGCACTTACTTCCTCTTTGCCAGGCGATTGGCTAAGCTCACAGAACTATTATAGAATTCTCACCAAATGGGTTCAAGGCCTATGTGTTGTACACTGTACAATATAGCACCCTCTGTACCCCCTCACACATGTACTCATTCATTCTCAAAACCATCTGTACTTCATAATACAAGTGGAGACCAGGTTCTGCCCTGAGGGTTTACTATCTAACAACGAAATTCATTTCTTTAGTTTTCTAACCAAAATAATGCTTTCTCATTCAAGAGATGTACTTGTGCATCTGCTATTTATTTGGCATGCCTTCCCCCTCTCTATTACTCACTTCACAGTTTTGGTTTAGCAAATGTATTGGGTGAAATGAGCAAAGTCATGTAGACCAAAACAGTAGGAAGTGCTAATTGTCATCAAATAGCCAAGTGCTGAGTTTATAAGAGAAAGGTATAGTCTGATACTCCAGGCATTTGGGGCTGGATCTTTCTAAGATTGCCATAGTTCTATTTTTAAAAGACAAATTTCTTTATCTATGTGGAATCAAAAGAATTTATGTCACCAGAATTCAAATAAAATTGACAATGTTTGAGAATAAGCTATTAACCATGCAGTATATATTGTGTTATACTGTGGTTTAAAAGTTATATAAAGTAAATGTTTTAATATGAAATCACAACCATCAAACAAGTGTTATTTTTAAAAAGGACTAGCCACTAAGAAAAAAATAATTACTAAAATCCCAGGTTCTGTCTCAATTGCCTTCTGAACTTTCATTTACTTGGTTATATGTATAAAGCTAACTATTTGTGGCACTCTCAATGCAAAGTTATGTGAACTGGGAAATCAGGTAAGGTGATCATTCCTACTATTTCTTTCTGAAATTCATTTTTTAAAAAATCCACAGTAAATTCAGGTTTCCATGGTCAAATGTATTCCAGTTCATTGTCACTTAGCTTTAGGTTCACAGTTTGATATACCTAAATTGTCAGACTTGAGAGAAACAGAAAGAAAGGAGGAGAAAAGAGATCATTTAAAAGGATGGGCCTCTGAAGGACAAATGACTCAGCAAAATCTTCACAGGTTAAAAACTACTTTTTACAATTCTTTACCCTTCTACCTTCTTGCATTTCTCTACCCACGCCTTAAAATATTTCTTTTTAGATTTATTTGTCTGTTTTCTCTTCCACCCCTCATTCCTTTCCTCCCTCTCTCCCTGACTTCCTTGCATCTCAACATGGGTAAAAACACACACTGAAATGCCTAACTTTGGTCCTAAGCAAATCTTCTGCAGTTCCACTGATCCTGGTATTCCCCATATACAGCACTACCTTCCATTCTAACCTCCTCAGCAATGGCCAAACAGATAGCTCTATACTTTTGAGCTCAAGAAAAACATGCTGTGAAAATAAACCCAGTGACTTTATCTAGAATACACTGACCATATTAACGCCATACATTTCATTGCTTTGAAAAGGATCGTCATCTTAGAGACTTAGTTACATTCTGCTTCTTTTAACATAAAGTTAAGGTATGTGAAAAAGGGCGAAACAAAAACAGAAGTAACAAAGCATATGTTTGGGTGGAGATAGATTTAAAATTAATAATTAACTGTAATTACTGTAACCTCTAGAAAACACAGTAAGGAGGGTCCTGAAGGAGAAGGGACTGATAAACACAACTCCCATCCCAACTGGACATCTATTTTGGAATAACTATATCTACATGTAGGCCTCCAGTAGTGGATATTACATTTTAATATTTTTTAAAACAGCCAAATAATCAAATCCCTAAAGACACGGCATTTTTCTTTTTCTTTGCCCAGGAATCTGTTTTGGAAGCCAATTCAATGATTACTACTAGGACATGGAATTTTGATATCCATTTGGTACTGATTTACACCAGTATTTTTAAGGCTGCCAACAAGAAAGTCCAGAATTTCAGGCAGCCAAAATTCCACAAGAGACAACTGTCTTTTATTTTATAGCTTATGAATTTGGGGCTTAATATGATTTTCCACTAACAAGTTCTGTACCCCCTCCAGAGTGCTAAAGCTGGTACGTAGATCAGCAAAGTAACACAGAACATATGAGGCAAGTTAATATTAAACTTGAAGGAAAACTGTACAAATTATATTGTTTACTTAGAAAAAAGCACTCTAGTTGAAAGGGCTGACATATGATTTATTGCAGTGACTTAACCAGTATGTTCACATTTTTACCCTCAGTCCCACTCACAGCAGTCGTTTGTGGTGTTGTGGTGCTGGATACAGGATTAATAAAGCCATCAATTAAACATCTACTAAATATTGGTAAGAAGCTCTAAATATTTCATGTCTTCTGTTTTTTATAAAATGGTTAGAAAAAAATACAGAATTATGTCCAGAATGAGTAATAAATCACAGGCAAATAACTTAGGGAACAGTTAGATGGCTAACTCTTTTTAAGCATAAGTAAATGAAGAACTGGTTTAGCAAAATTAAAAAAAATTAAAAATAAACAAAAACAAACAGAATGTTCTTGCTTTCCAGAAATAATTCTATTGTAAAACAAAACTTCCATACATCATTAGAAAAAAATATAGAGAACTTCTTCCTGTTTTGAAAAGAGGCAAAGATAATAAATATTGAAGCATTTAAATGATTAAATGTACTTTTTTTTTTAAAACAAAAGTCATGAAACCTTCCCTAGAGGCTACGAAGAAAGGTCACAATATGTATCAGTTCTATAATGTTTAAATGTCTCATACCTAAATGATTTTCCCTAGGATTCTAGGCTTATCCAAAAACCTTCATGTTTCATGCAATTTGTAAAGCGGTTTTATACACTTGTTCTCAATCTCAGTCAGCAAAGATATATAATAGATAATATCAGCATAGGAAGCTAGAGAATTATTTATCTACAAAACTAGATATTAAACACTGCACCCTGCAAAGTTTTCCAGTAAGGAGAAATGAACTATCTCACATAATTTCATAGATGAAAACTACAGGAAAAAAATAATAAAGGAACTATTTCTATAGTGGAAGCCCATCCTAACTACTAAGAAAACCATACCAGAGGCTCTTTAGATTTCACATTAGAATTCCTAAATTATTAGCCTAAAACAAGGCCATGGTGCCTACCATGGGAAGATGATATCAGGACCACTACCAAAGGATACACTCTGCCTTCTTGAAAAGGATCAGAATCGTCAATGGGTTCTCAGGCTCATCAGACAAAATGCTACAGCATTATTTATGAGCACCATACAGCACTTTTATATTTCTAACAGTAACTGTACAAACAGAAACTTCTTAACCATGTTACCAAGCTGCTCCATCTATTGACAGTTAAAGCTAAATATGAAGATAAGCAAATGTTAGAGCGACTTCTGACATCCATTCTTAACTTTTATAGTAGAAACATTTATATAAAAAATCTTCATTTAAAAATATATTGCTAAATTACTCTATGAAATTTATAATTAGCTAACAACATAATTTTATCTACACAAACTTTAAAAACTGACATTGAGTGGATAAATTACTTCCTACCAAAAGTTATTGTATCTAGAAAAAAATAAAATGAGAAAATTTCTATAAATTAATCTTCAAAGCTTAATGTCTATACTTATACCAGTTTACAAGACAGAGCATTGTAAAAGTCATTCTATTTGAAAGGAAGGCCAAGATAACATGTGCCAGGTGCCAGCCAACTACATAAGTATTGCTACTATCAACTGTGGTCCTCTATCAAGAACATGTATTTAATCAGGAAAAATTATTTTATTTGTTTCTCCCTATTGGCACAAAGTTATGACAAATTTCATCCTTAATTTCTCATTAGATTTCCAAAGGGCTCCTAATTGAATTTCAAATTATGGCTAAACTCCACAAGTGGGGATTATGGGAAAAATGGAGAAATGCATCTCTAAATATATCAGATCCACAGACCATCTGTTGCTTTATCTTAAAACTGAAGTTTATCCCCCCAGATTTCCTCTCTCTGTTACTTTCTGTCCTAAATTCATTCCCAGTTTAGCCTTTACCAGTTTGTTTTACCAGTGTAACCAGCAGCAATGTGACCAGAGTACACTATATATTATTTCCATGTAAACATTTTGGCAGTCAGTTAAATTAACTGTGTCCTTTGAAAATCTAATAATACAAAAAATAGGTATGACAGAATATATACTACTTGATATATACAAATGTGAGAGCACCATGTAAGAATAAAAAAGAAAATAACTTCTCATTAAGGCTGGAAGAAATTGGAGAAACTTTCACGGGAGGTCTTAAAACCCCTGACTAAACTATATCACTTGCTTTTAGTTAAGAATGGGCCCAATCTCAAGGAGCTTGCTTGAGAATGTTCCTTCTGTTCAGTCATTCATGACTGATGGTGAGCAGGTGCTTGGCATCCTCATGGTTTTATATCTGAACTTCATCTTCTCCTTCAAGTTCATGGCACGTACCACGTATCTGTGTTCCTAATAATTCTCCATCTGACAATAGTGGAGACATGGCAGGAGTCTGCATGGTCAGTAGGGAAAGAGATGGCGAAAAACTGGGAGTCATGGCTTCTGGCAGGGAACCAAGATGATAGGGGATGGGGGAGCGTGGGTATTTCTGAAGTACTTGCCCCAGGGTTACAGCTGGCATTCTTGGTGGGACTGCTTTAATACCAGGCTGGGCTACTGCTGTTATCAAAGGGGGTGGAAAAACAAAAGATTTCTTCTCTTTTGGAATACCAGGCATGTGTAAATGTTCATTCTTTAGTTTTGCAATGTCATTAAATACAGAGGCAAGAGGTTGGAACTTAGGTTCCCAACTGAGGAGATAATCCCAGTGATAGTTGCCTCTTCCATCATGATCAGAGGATGTCTGAGTTGAAAATGCTGCATATCTTGCTTCCTGATCATCTGATATAAAGGTGGACTCTTTTGTGACATCATCCAGGACACCCTCTTTTGCCTCTCCTTTCTGAACTGCCTGGGATAGCTCATTATTTTGAGCGTATGTGGTGCTGCAGCATTCCCCTCGATCTCCTTCCCCAAATGTTTGGCTGACTTCAGTTGTTTCCATAGTGACCATCATGTCGGTTTCCCCAGACAGGCAGGAGAGCTGGTCCGAGTCCCTTGGGATTCCTGAGTCTGGCACCCTGGACTCCCTGCCACTCAGAGCTGAGTCCGTGCCCTTTCTGTAAGGATGCTCATTTATTCTTTGGATTTCCTTATCTTCTGCAGTTTCTCCTTCCACAGAATAGTGGCCACTGGAGCTTGAGTGCCTGTACAGATTGACAATGTCCTTCTCCATGATGCTGAGTAACTTCAACCATTCTGGTGTGGTGTCCACGGGTAGCACTTGGTCACTATAGTCATTTGTTTTCTGGAAGGCCTGGAGCTCTCTGACATCCCTGGTCACCCTCAAATTGATATCTAAAGATGATGATGTTTTCTTCTCCTCATAGTTGTTTATTGTGTCTTTTAGCTTATGTCTTAAAATCAATACAATTAGAATACAGATGAGTAACAGAAATACTAGGAAGGAGACAGCAAGGCTGATTGAAAAGCCATTGGTGGATACTGCTGAGTGTTTTCCTTCGGAGGAGAAAGACACATTCACAAAAACAGTGCAAGATGCAAACTTGGAGTCTGGTTTAGGGCTATGAGCGATAATTTTCATTTCCATGGTGTCATCATTGTTGACTTGACTTTTTATTAAGGGAAGGGCTCTGATCAAATAAATATTTCCATTAGTTTTATTTACTGAAAAGAAAGAAGATGAAGTTTCAAGGGAGTAAAGAATGACTCCATCGATACCAGCATCTGCATCCGAGGCTTCCACTTTGCCAACCAACTGTCTTACTTGATTCTTTTCTGGGAGGGTGAAAAAATACTGATCTTGAGTAAAAATGGGTTGAAATTCATCTATCCCCTCAATATCCACCCAAACCACTAAGGAGGCTGTTGAATCACCTGTGTCCTTGGCCTGAATTGTGAGGCAGTATTTATTGCCATTTTCATAGTCAAGGACTTGCTTAGCACGAATATCCCCAGTCAGAGGGTCAATGAGGAAGAGATCATGATCATAAGATGTTCCATGAGTGAATAAACAGGGTGAGACAATAGAATAGGTCAATTCTCCATAAGGCCCTGCATCAAAATCCAAAGCATTCACAGAACATATAATGGAGAAGGCAGGCAGATTTTCAGGCACGACACAGGTGAAGCTGGAGAACATAAACTGAGGTGCATGGTCATTATCATCGAGAACATGAACAAATACAACTGCAAAAGAAAAATATTTCTTTTCTTCATCTGAAGCTTGGACAGTTAAAGTGAATTTTGTCATTTCTTCATAATCCAGAGGCTTAATCAAATACAGAACTCCAGTTTTTTCTTCTAAATAAAAATTTCCCTTCTCATTTCCAGAGATTATGTGGTAGATGATTTCTGCTTGTGACCCCATGTCGCTGTCATTTGCTGATACTACAGTGATATGACTTCCTAGAGAGGTGCTTTCCTTGACATGGGTGTGATAGCCCAGACTGCTGAATTTAGGTGGGTTATCATTAACATCAAGTACCTGTATTGAAATGACGGCTGTGGAACTCAACGGAGGGCAGCCATGGTCAGATGCTAGAATAACAAGCTCATGGCTGGCAGTTGTTTCTCTGTCCAGATTGCGAAGCAATACAAGATAACCAACTTGCTTATAAGGATATTCTGAATGAATGAAACTAGTTTCCACGTGAAAACTGTTCTGTGAATTACCGCTGATGATAGAATATTCAACATATGTGTTCTCACGGGTCCAGTCATGATCGATGGTTGAAAATGTGACAAGTGTGCTTCCAGTCAGAGTATCTTCACTCAGGCTAAGATTATAGGATTCGATTCTAAACTCGGGAGCATAATTGTTCATATCATGTATTCCTATCTCCACCAGTGTAAGAGCCTTCATTGCAGGAATTCCACCATCACTGGCTTCAACAAGAAATTGAATTGTTGATATTTTATCCAGAAGTAATACAGGATTGATAGTAAATATTGTGCCTGAAAAACAAGACACAGCACTTCAATGTTGGAAAAGTTAGGTTTTCATGATCTGTTTAGACAGCAAATATTTACAAAATATCTACCAATGTGTTTAGTTCTTAGATTTGTTATTTAGGTCACAACCAACGAGTCCAAATACAAATGCAAAATTACTATATTTATATTTTTATAATACTTAAGTTCCAGAAATAATAGTCATGGCATTCACTCTATGAAATATGTGTGCTGCTTGAGGTTGCCTTTGCCACAAATTTCTCCATATTTTATTTTTATATACTCGGGTGTTTAATTACCACTTCTAAAAAACGTATATTCTTGCTTATAAAATTTATATCCCATTCTATTACCCATAAATACATGTATAGAGATATTCTGGCATAAAGATATTTACTTTGGAAATGCTTGTTGACACTCACTCTAGTCAAATGAAGGCAATGATATGGCAATGCAGAGTTAAAATTATTTCTTAACTATAGAGATAGCTTTCCTAAAGATCATGGTTAATTCAGTGAGTGGATTTTTCCCTTACTGATGAAACATATTTAATAGAGTTGATTTTATTACATATAGAAATAGACAATTTTTATAAATATGTGTTACAACATTTTTCTTTTTTTTCTTTTGAGTTGGAATCTCACTCTGTCACCCAGACTGGAGTGCAGTGGCCGCTCCCGGCCACTGCAGCCTCAACCTGCTGGGCTCCAGCGATCCTTCCACCTCAGCCTTCCAAGTAGCTGGAACTACAGGCGCGCACTACCACACCTGACTAATTTTTTAAAAATTTATTGTAGAGATGAGGTCTCGCCAAGTTGCCCAGGTAGGTCTCGAACCCACAGGCTCAGGCAATCCACTCACCTCCGTCTCCCAAAGTGTGGAATTACAGGCTAAGCCACTGAGCCCGGTTTACATTTTTCTAAGATAAACATGTCTAAAGTATGATCACCGAAAAAGAATACAGAATGCTGGCATTTAAATATTTACATGCCACATTTTAATTACAGGCCCACCATGAACTAAATGAACCTGATAACAATTAGTGATTTACAAATACTGTAATTAATAGCTCATTGCAGTTCGTTAATAACATGTGTCAAGGAAAAGTGATGTGATGTTAAAGATTGAGTGCTCCAAAGGACCACCTTGCACCCTGTGATTTGCTGTGGCCAGGGCAGCAGATGACTTCATTTCATTTTACAACACCCTGCAGACCTCATCCTGGTATTTTGGAACTACATTTTTCTTTCAGGTAATCCTGAGGTTAATTTTTAAATTAACTCTCACTGTGAAATGATGCAGTAGTGAGTAAAAGATGAGAAACACCATGTAATATGTCCAGGTCCTGGGCTCTTCTAGTGTGCTCTGCTAGGGACACTGTTTTGCTAATTATTCACCTTTATAAAATCTAGCTTTTAATGTTCACTTACTGTTAAACTTTCTCTATATGCTACCTAATGCTTCTAATCCAAAATCGCATGCCTGAGTGCATTTCGCAACTATAGATGTTTTGCTTGCTCTGTGATAAAAAGATAAAAAGTCTAGGAAGGCATCAAATAAAACAATATACCACAATGGTTTTTACTTAGTAGAGATAAATAATTTTTAAAAATGTATTCTTGTGATTTATTGAACATATGATGTTATTACTGACTTTTTCACACTTAACTTGGAAAAAAGGCTTCCAAACTCTACTAATGTGAAGTCCTTAGTACTAGGTTAATGTCTTTGACATCATTTTGATTCTTGTTGAAGCCTGGGATAATTGCCTGAACTGTGTTTGAGTGGATGGAAATGGGTGTTTATTACACTGAAGTATCTGAATTTGTGAGCATTTGACAACATTTAGCCAATGGCTTCTGCTTTTCAGTCACTGAGATGTTAGAGAAGAGAAATAACACTGGCATTTGCTACTGAAGCACTTGCTGTGTAGAGAAATAAGCAAGTGGTGCCTGTAATTCCAGGAGGTGGAGATGGGGGACTCTTTTAGGAACATTAAAAAAGGATAATTTCAAGTTCCTACCCTATACCTCAAACTTATGAGCACTAATGCCACTATAAATAACTCACCATTCGTAGGATCAATGGAGAATTCCTTAGAAGAGGAAATAATTCTGTAAGAAATGTTCTCGTTGCTTTCTAAGTCTGTAGCTGACACAGTCAGCACTGAATACCCCACAGGTACTGATTCAGGAACTGTGGTCTGAAGAAAAAAGAGGAAAAGGACATTATGCTTATGAACAGGGCCAGAGCACAAGGTAATTTTATTCATTTTGATTACATAAACCATACAAAACAACCTGATGTCAGTAGCTATGTTAATATAGAGAGTTGACATATTTAAAAGGTTGTGTTAATAAGAACTAGATTTAGAAAACAAAAAGTTTTTTTAGAAAAGATGTCATTCAGTTTTGAATTTTCCTTCTAAATTAGTTCTATGTGGCAAAGGATATATTATTACATTATATACATTGCATAAGCAAGCCTTCACAGATGATCATTACCTAAGGTTACTTTCCCCCTGTGTCTGCAATTAAACCTTGCACTTTCTGCATACAAGAGTCCTGGAATATATCTCAAAGTACTTAGTTGAATGTTATCATTGCCTTCACTTCTATAAACATACACTGTGCTCTAAAATCTAAAATTTCCACTTTGTGGTTTTGTTCATGATTTTTTTTTCTATATAATGTTAATCAATACATTCTAAAAACATGCCTAGGAAAGAAAGAATTGTCCCAAATTATCTGCAGATAATCCAAATTATCTCAACAGTGGCTTTGCAAATATCAGGCAACTTCCAATTGTTATGAACAACTAGACTTCAACTCTTAGAATATAAAAATTAATGGCATGCATACTTAATGAACTGAATTGAAGGATAAATTTATTTCCATATGCACTTACAGCCTCCATGGTATTAAACATAAAACCCACCGTGCTAACTCAGGCACTGAAAACAGTGAATGTTGTCTATCTAAGTTAGTCTGCCAGCAATGGAAGACTTACATTATTCTCTATTCTTTCTAGTTTTGGCTGTGGTTTCAGCATCTCTTTAAGCTCTTTACCTGATAGAAATCTCGAGAAAACACTGGGGAGTTATCATTGACATCTAGCACATGGACTTTAAGTGCTCCCTCTGTGTGGTACACTGAATCAGAAATTTGGATGAGCAATTCATATTCAGAAACTTCTTCAAAATCCAATGTTTTTACCAGCACCACTATTCCAGTGTTCTGATTGATAGCAAACTTGGCTCCAGGATTACTCTCTTTGGCAAGACTGAAGATGAAAGCTGAATTCAAATCCACATCATGAACTGACACCCGAGTCACAATTACACCAGGCAAAGAATCTAAAAAAATAGTCATGGCCAGTGTCAGTCTCCATTAAAATCCATCCTTTGAAATACATTTCTTTACTAGTTCATTTCAAGCATTTTTATTCTAAGTCCAACATGATTTGTTCTTTCCTGGCTGATTTCTTATACAAAACTCATTATGAAGTGAACAAAACTCTGAAGAATTTATGAGTCTAATAAAAGTGAAAATTTACTACTGCGTAGAGAATTGAGGAGGTAGTGTATACTCAGCTTTTACTTTACATTTTTCATCATATGCCTACAACACAATTGCAGGACCAAGAAACATTCTAAGCCACTTATTTGTACTATATAGATTCTGTATCAAAATCGTATATTCATGGGATATGTGGGTAGGAGGAAGGGTATTTCTCAGAGCATTAATACAAAATATAACTTTCTGAAAAGTAGACCATATTCAAATATTTAAATACTGATGTTAGAATTAGATCCTTATTTCCTTGTATTTATTTTTGTGAAATAATTTATTTAAATTGGCACATCCACTGCTTCCTTCTCTTAAACCTGACTCTGAAAATTATCAAGACTATAGAAAAACACAGTCTACGCAGTTCTAATGATGAAGGCAAATTTCTAATGGTATTCATCAAAAAAAATCACAAAATAAATGACATGTTCAATATCTCATGCACTACATGTGTTCTCCAACCTAAATAACCCATGAAAGGGACTTTGTTTTTAAGCTTTACAGGTATGGCACAGGTGAAAAGAATATGCCCAGATACTTAGAATAGTTCCATTATATATGGAACTAATAATTTTCAGTTTTCAGGCTTTAACATTCTTGATGTGCACCAACCTCACCTTAGCCCATTCAGTATATTTTGATTTATGCTGTTTCTTCTTGTGATATATTTATACTGGGCCCATTGCTATATTTTAACATTAATTACATGTGCTTAAAAGTAGTACTTTCAATAAAATCAAATGAAAATATATCAAATTTGTGAGAGGCAAAACTGGAGAATTTTTTATTTGTAGATATACCTATGTATAGAGATTTCTGGACTATTTCCCCTGACAGGTGGTAGTTATAATCTGTTTGAAAAGTGAACATAAAAAACTGCTAGAGACATTTTAGGAATGAATTTGTTATTAAGAGTGGAAGGAGAGAGGCAAGTAAGGGGCTACCACTATTTTCAACTTCAACTACAAACAGCTAGGTCGGGTGTCACCAGTGCAGCCACTGACCACAAACAACTCTGAATTCACAGACTATGTACAGAGTCATCATATAACCCACAGAATTAAACAATTAAGATTAATCAGTATGTTATTTAAACTTGATATATTCAGTCTCTGTTATTAGTGTATTACAAACGTTGAAGCCTAGGTTACTCAAGGGAAAGTGATGGTTTTGCGCAATCAAGATCCAATTCACTTCACTTATTATTTGTCATTAGTATCCTGAAAAGATTGACAAAGCTGTAAACATTGTTCCTTCTCAGAGAAGGTTCACAATGATTATCACAGTCAACAAAATATGTTTCTTCATGGAGCAGACTGAATTTTTACTAAATGTCTATACATAAGCAGATGCTATGAAGAATGGTTGGAGCATGGAGACTTGGCCCCCCACTGGCCTGAATGCAGATCCTTGCCTTAACATTTAACTCCTTTGACATCTGATATTTAACTGATGACCATTCATTTTCTATCCTGTAAAGTCAAGATAAAAATGATCTACTGTGCATAGTTGTCGAGGATTTGTATTTATATTTAACATAGGGTCTGGCTGAAAAAAAGTGGTGAAGGATATTATACAAGTTCATTGACACCACTATTCTAAATTGTCATACTTACTTTCTGCAATTTCCACTGCTTCAGATGGGAGGAAAGCTGGGGCATTGTCATTTTTATCAGTTACCTGTACCTTGATCATGGTCGTGTTAGAATGCCTGGGCATCCCTTTATCTGCAGCTTGCACAATCAAGCTGGTTTGGAAAAGAATCACAGAATGTTATCCATTATCCAGAAATTGAGAAATAAAAAACATAAATATCAAGTATCTCGTTGAAAATTTAAAACTGAGCTGACTAGCAACTTTTATTTCTCCCCTGGCTTTTTCTAAATGTCATCATTTAAAATTGATTTCATAAGAATGTGTATTTATTTTTGACATGTTTAGAAAACCAAATCCAGCAAGCTGCCAGGGGTCAGGAGGTGTCAATGTCCAAACAAATGGACCTTTTCTGGGAGCTAGACTGTAAAATTCAATCCTGTCCTACTAAGAACAACCTACAAAATATAAACACTAGTACCTAGTACCTGTACTTTGAATAAGCAGATGGTCTCCACCTTGCCATGCCATGGCCTGGATATTGCTACACATTTTCATATTACTAAAACAACAAAAGATGGAACCACTAAAAGGCTGCTTTTTACTGATATTTTTCAGATGCAAACCAATCAAAATTCTAGAATTAAGAAAGGACAGTGCCATGATGAACACACATACAAAAAAATGTATGACTAGCTAGGGCTGTAATGTAGAGGTAAAAGTATGATCTGAAAGAATTTATGCACTAATTCAATCTCTCTTTAATGATGCCATAACTAACTTCTCCATCAACCAAGCTACAAACCTTATTACAGTCTTTAACTTCTCCCTTTCTCTCACCATCCTTCTAATATCCAAGTAATTATGCATCTCAGCGATTTTACCTTCTGAATCTTGCTTGGATTAGTGTTCCTATCCATTTCATCCCTACCTTCAAAAGCTTCAGAAAGAGTGAGTAACCATTCTGTTTTGCCTGGGGCAGAAGGGCTTTTTAGGACATGAGAATTTCAGTGTTTTTAAAACCAAGATAGTAAGCAGACTGGGCTTTCAGTGCTACATCCAAGAAAGTCCTGGGCAAACCTGGACAGGCTACAGCCAAGAAAGTTCTGGGCAAACTTGAACAAGCTGGTCCCTGTAGCCTCAATCCCTTATCATTTTTTCCTGGAATGCTCTGCAGGTATTGAAACCTTTCTCAACAGGATTACTTGATAATTTACCAACCTCCCTATTGCAAGTCTCCTCTGCTCCATTCATCCCCTACAATGCAGCTCAACTACTCTATCTAAAGACCAAATTTGAAAAGATGGCCTCTCTATTTAAAACCTTTTCTTGGCTCTTCATGCCTACAAGAGGTTGTCCAAACCTCGAACATGGATATATGAACTTTTATGTCCTGATTTCTGCCTGGAATCCCTATTCCTGCATGCTCTTGGTTTTTCAAAGCTAACAGCTCTGTGAAGTTTTTACTGATCTTTCATTTGACTTGGATGTCCTTTATGTATTCCCATAGCACCCTGTACATTCTTCTGCCAGAGCAGTCACCATTCTTTGTTCTTAATAATTTATATGTCTGCCTCTTCTGTAAGTTCTTTGAGGGCATGTGACTGCCTTGTTTGCTTTTATTTAATAGGTGTTGAGTGCTGGTTTCTCAGGATTTGCCAAAGGTTACATATGCATTAGATGACAGAGCCAGGATTTGAGCCCTAGTTTTGGGCGACTGGAAATCTGTGCTCTATTACATGATACTCCATAAACATCTCTTTTGCTGTGTATATATCACAACTTAAGGTATAACTACTGGCTTATTTTTTACACTGTGAAGGCCAGGAGGGCAACAGAGTAATACAATGAGTTGTCAATTAGAAGATGCTCTTTATTTCAGAAGCGCATTGTGGAGACTACCTTTTAAGAAACAAGTCTTGGAAGTTGACACAGCTCTACTTTTTTTCATTGTTAGCTCATCTGATAAAGTGTTCTTTATCTTTACAACCTTATATTTTAAAGTGATGTAAAAAAGCATCAATTCTTTCTTAATTTGAATTCCACTTAATAGCAAAATGATCCCTGTTTATCTGCCATTCATGAGGCACACTGGCTGCCTTCTACACTATCTGAGTTAAAACGTTAGTAGACCAACCACTAGAATTTCAAACTCCTGAGGTCTAACTTCTGAAATAATTCCACATGGAAAGTTTATTTTGTTAGTATGAATATCCACTGGGTACATATGGCAATATTTTACCAAAAATGATTTCTTTTAATGCTTTCTCTCCTTGATGCCTGCCCTTCTCAGTGTCATCTAAAGTCTCAGCCAAGATACCAAAGTTAAGACTCTGTCAACTCTTCCTAACATAGCCATAATCACTCTTATTTTCACTAACTTTACTACTCAGGTGTTCTACATAATGCCTTGTCAAGTTAAAAAAAAGGGGGGGTGAGATGCTTTGATATGGAGAGAAATGCATTATTTAGTATCAAAATAAAAGGACAAGATAAAGGCTTCTCAGTGGCTTTAAGAACAAATACAAAATTATGAAGATGGATCTGCAGAGATTCTACACACAGCTTCAGTGGGACCTCAAACTGTCTACAATGACTCTTTGGCAGTCACTGTGAAGATACTGGTTGTAGCTAGTCCAGCTGGATCTATGTGCCAGAGTTGTTTCCCTGAGTAATATAATCAGCAAAGACTACAAATAAAACTGACCAGATTAAGAACAGACCCTTTCTAAGCATTCTAAGTTCAGAGCATACTTGTCCTAGTCTATCAACCATAGGAAGCTTCTTTTACCATGCTAAACCTTCAGTGAAGCCTTTGCCCAGGCAGGATCTTTTTTGATTGCCTTAAAATACTGTAGTTGTTGATAGGGGATTTTTCAAAACTCTCTCTCTCTCAACTATATGTTAAATGTCTACCAAGAGTTTTCTGTTCCTTCTGAAAGGCTAAGAAAAGTAAAAATATCAGCCAACATCAGAAATATCTATGAAAAGAAGAACTACGATTTCTGGTAAGGATAGCAAGCTGACTACACAGGTTTTCGCTCCTCTTTCTCCCAAGATTCCACTCAAATGATAGCAAGAGAATTTTGAGATAAGGTATAAGTCAATCCAGCCTCAGCTAAAAAGAAAATAAGACATTAGTGGGTGGAACAAGTGAGAAATATCAGCAATTTCTGGAAGACACAAGCAGATGGAAGAGTGGTTATAGATGAGTGAGTCAGAGGAAATCAGAGAGTAAAATGCATTTAGAATGTACAACACCATGAGTGGATCCTAATGTAAACTATGGGTCTGAGTGATGATGATGAGTCGATATAGCTTCATCCATTCTAATAAATGTGTCACCTGCTGGAGTTAACACTAGGCAAGGCGGTGCATGTGTGGGGACAGGGACATATGGGCTATCTCTGTACCTTTCTCTTAACTTTGCTGTGAACATAAACTGCTCTACAAAATGAAATCTTAAAAAAAAATGCATTCAGAGAAGGATAAGGATGTGAGGAGCAGAGTTGACTCCAGGTAGCCAAGGAGAGGCTCAGGATATGACAAGGGGTGGAGTGAGGTACTAAGCTAAAAGCAGGAAGATTATTTTAAACTCAAAATATAGAACAATCATGTCCCCTTTGCCCACTGCTCTTCACTCCCAGTAAAGAATGCCTGTGGTTCATAACCAGGGTAAGTGACACTGAGAGATTGTCCCTGGAGAAATGAAATTTCCCTCCCAAAGAAAAGTGAGCTCCATATATGCCATTTGTATGCCATCCTGTAAAGTAGTCAACCATTCTCTCTGGTTCATTTGATAATGAAGTGTGCCTCTAGCCAACTCGGAGGTTCTAATGGCTGATTCTGCCTCACTCAGAACCAAATTACGTATAGAAAGCCTTTAGCATGAAAAAGAGAGCTCAATATAGAAAAAGTGATAAAAGGAAACTGGTGGAAACAGATACTGAAAGGAACAAAATACAATGTAAAAACAATTCTAAATAATGTCCTTGGAGAGATATCAGAAGATAATGCATCTATAAAACAAGAACCAGATACTATGAAAGGGATCAAACATCAATAAATAATTTCTGGAAATAAAAACAAATATATAAAACCTTCCCAATCTTTAACTTAAAAAAAGTTCAGAAGATTAAAATTCAGAAAATATTTCCCCAAAATGAAACAACTAAAATAAACCAACACACAAAATAAGAACTGCAAAGTAAGAAATAAAATACAAATAACAAAGGATAAATCCAGACAGTCTAATACCTGATTGAATAGGATCTAGGAAAAAGGAACAGAGCAAAACAAATAAATCAAGACCAAAAAAAAAAAAAAAAAAGTGAGGAAATTATCAATGAAATAATACAAGAAAATAGAAAAAAAAATTATCAGAAGAGAACACTGGATACTCAGAGTAAGAAAACAGACATATATCAAAATATAAAATCACATTCCTAAAAATAGCCTAAAAACTTCCACAAAGAAGGAAAACAATCATACAAAGTAAAATAATTAGAATGGCATCAGACTTCTCAACAGCAACTCTGGGTTTTAGAGAATAACCACAATGCCTTCAAAATCCTAAGAGATATTTTCAATTATCCAATGTATATATCACATGAAAGATTAAAATAAAGGCGTTCTCAGATATGTAAAGGCTCAGAGAATTTACTCCCTGGCACTTTTTCTTACAAAGCTACTGGAAGAGAAACTCAAGAAAGAGAAAGACATGGGAATTAGAAATCCTGACCCAACCTAGGACAGTCATAAACCAAAGACTTGGAATATCAACCTTGCAGTTGGCTTAGTGAGCCAAACTGGCCATGCTAAAGGGAAAGGGAAGAAGTCAGTCACATTCCTATATACCAACAGTAAACAACAGAAACCCAAATAAAAAGCACAATCCCATTCACAATGACCACAAAAAAAAGAAATACCTTGACATCTTCCTAACAAAAGATGTCAAAGACCTTTACAACAAAAATTACAAAACACTGCGCAAAGAAATCAAAGAATCAAATGGAAAAATATTCCATGCTCTTGGTTTGGAAGCATCAACATTGTTAAGATGTCCATCCTACCCAGGGCAATCTACAGATTTAACGCAATACCCATTAAATTACCAGAAACATTCTTCTCATACCTGGAAACATAAACGACCCC